GTGACCATACTTATTTTATTATGTGGCTTATTTTAAGGGGGAAGGGGTTAAGTATGGTAAGAAAATTACTTGTGTCAAAACCAAACTAATTGGACAATGTTTTTAAGAACTACCTAAACACATATACTCATTATTTGAACATTCAAAAAAGCTGAAAAGTATATTTTACGAAAGCCAAGTCATGTTTTCACATTTTATTTACTGCATTTACTCTTTTTTAATGTTTGCCATCTTTTTACATTAAAATAATGCAATATTTTAGCTGCTATTAATTTCGCACACAAAAAGTAATCATTTGACCTAATGTGCACAACGGCGATTATGCGGTTTTGCAACTGGTCGATGGGCGGTTTCGCCAAAAAAACATCGACGATATACATACAAGAAACAAGAAATGGGCTAAAAAAATGCATACTCAACTTTTTTCTAGAGAGCGCGAATAAAAAGTGCAATATTTGAATGAAATTTTTCAGAATTTTCTTTAATTTTGCACAAGGTTTGGAACTCTGATTTTTAGGGGTTTGGTTGTAGAATTAACCATATTTTTATAAAAAATTAGCGAAAAATAAAATATTTAAAAATAGTTGCCCGTTTTCTAAAAATTCGCTGTTACTAAACTTTATTGACTGACTGTATGTATATTTTTTGTCTATTAATTATATTTACTATTCTTTTATAAAAGTGCAGCTCAATATAAAGTGATATTCAAACTTTGTGCAAAATTTATAAAAATTCTGCAAATTGCATCTAAATGGTCAACTTTTCAATCCGATGTTTTACAATTTTTTTGAGTATGTTAGTTTTATATTAAATTTTAGAACAATAAAGTGTAAGTTTTAACTTTTAATCGCGTTGATTTTTGATAATTTTTTTTTGGTTGTTCATAAAAAAAAAATGTCGAACATACTTTGTATGGGAGAAAATGCAGGGGAAAAATTGGCAAAAATCTACGCGATTTTTATGTAACTTAAAACATACATCTTAAACTAAAATTTAGTGAGCTATTAAACTGCATATTCAAACAAATTTCAGAAAATCTGATTAAAAATTGATTTTTATAATTTTTGCACAAAGTTTGAAATATAAATTTATATAGTTTTTGTTAGATATTGAACGGCACTTTTATAAAAAAAATAATGAATATTAAATAAACAAAAAAATATAAGACTTTTCTATTATTTTGACCACGGGTGTATATATGTATGTATGTACATACATACTATGTATGAGTTTTTGCTCGTTATGTTGCTTAAATAAAAACTGTTAGCATTTATTTTGCTTATCTGTGGGTTAAAAAAAAATAATCTCACAGTGAATTATTTATTTATTAGAAAGGGAGAGATCAATCTACTCACTTACTAAAGACTAGGAACACGAGCCGCATGGGCCTTAGGCTCTGTGAACTAAACTTAACTCTTAACTGAATGTGAATGGAGTTAAAACTTCAGACTGAAATTAAATTGACTTAAATATATTATTACACATATTCGATTGGAAATTCTTAAATTATTTTTTTTGTAAGATCACAAATCTTGAAAAAATTGTTAATCAATTTGATATTTTCTTTCGTAATGTGTTGTAGTAGGCTTGAAGGCTTGATTTTATCGAAAAAGGTTGTTCTTGGTTTAGCAAAGTGTGGGCAGGTCTCTAGGATGTGGAGCACTGTAAGCTAATTCACACCACAGTATGGGCACTGAGGTGGAGTTAACTTTTGAATAAATGGCTGGCGGTTAACAAGGTATGGTCAATCCTTAGGCGGATGAGCGATTTTAAATCATTACATCTCACGTTGTTGTTGTTGTTGTAGCAGCATACAAGTTCCCCATAGAGTTTTGGGGAGTGTTGCTGGAGTGACAGTCCTTGGCCAGATATAAATATGGGTCGTTCCGGTTACGTAGACCCGACTGTCGTGGGAACGACGTTGTCTTTTGTTTTCATTGCAAATTTACCTGCTTCGAAAAATGCCACAGCCTCGGATGTGAACACGGAACAGCCATGATGCAGAACGCTCGTGGAAATGGTCTGATTTTCTTCATCTACTTAGTACTGCAAATACGATGATGCTTGAAGCTTTGGGCCCATCTGTGTAAATGAATTTCCATTCAGTGTCCCGGAGCGTATGCGCCAGTTGAAGGAAGGACTTACGGAAGACAGACGAAGGGGGATTAGCTAACTCGCGTACTACGAAAGGTTCAAAGCTAATCCACGGGGGCGGGCGAACAAAATTCAAATCGT